ATGTCCATGTTGTTTTCCAGAAAGGCTGAACAAGTTGGCATTCCCACCAGCAGTTAGTGACAGTCCCTTTCTCCCTGCATCCACAACAGCACTGGTTGTTCTTTTTGATGTATTACAGTCTCTGTGGCATGAGGTGTTATCTCATAGTTGTTTTGATTTGTATATCCCTCATAATTAATTGTGTAGAGCACTTTTTCACATGCTTCTTGGCCATTTGTGTTTCTTCTTTGAGGAAGTTTTCCGTTGATCTCTTCTCCCCAATTTCTGATAGCATTGTATATTTTTTTCTTGTAAAGTTTACCAGTGCCTTACATATATATATATATATATATATATATATATATGTAAAGGTAAAGGCCCTCCCATTGTTCATCGATTTGCTCAAGCGGGTCCAGTAACGTCTCCATTGGAGATTTTGTTGTTACTGTGTTTGGCATATTGAATACATCACGGGTGGCTTGCCAGGCTCTGCCATGCGGGCGAGATACTCTCAGTAGCTTGTCGGGCTCTCCGAGAGGGGTGGAGGAATCGAACTCGGGTCAGCCATGTTGGCTGCGTGCAAGGCAAACGCCCTACCACTGTGCTATCGCTCCAGCGATATACATATACATATATATATATCTACATATATACAATATATACTGATTCTGAATGTGTTTAAATACAGTGAAATTCTAGAAAATGTTTTATTAAAGAGGGACTATGCTTTTCCTACAAAAACATATGTATGAGATATATGTATGTGTGTATGTATATATACATATATATACACATATATCTTGAATTACCAGACAAGTGTTGGGTAAATAATTTTCCCATTACATGGGAAGATATATGGGCTATCTTCTTAGCCTAATTCTTTATCAAAATATAATGTTACAGAATAGTCCAAAATGCTAACTAAAATATTATATTGAAATTATATTCTTATACAATTATTTTATATATTTTAAGGTATAAATGGGCTGGAGCAATTGCACAGCGGTAGGGCATTTGCATTGCATACAGTCGACCCGGTCGGCCCAGGTTCAATTCCTCCTCCCCTCTCGGACAGCCCGGCAAGTTACCGAGAGTATCTCGCCCACACAGCAAAGCCTGGAAAGCTCCCCGTGACGTATTCAATATGCCAAACACAGAAACAACAAGTCTCACAATGGAGACGATACTGGTGCACACTTGAGCAAATCGATGACCAACGGGAGAACAGTATATATATATATATATATATAGAGAGAGAGAGAGAGAGAGAGAGAGAGAGAGAGAGAGTATTAATATATTAATAAATCTTTTGTTAGAATGGAATTTTTATTCTATCATTCCCATTCAGAAGACAATATATACTGATTCTGAATGTGTTTAAATACATGTGAAATTCTAGGAAATGTTTTATTAAAGAGGAACTATGCTTTTCCTATAAAAACAGCCCTTTTCTTTTTGTAGCAGTGTCTCCAGTGTCTCTAGTATATATGACATATATAGATATATCTATAGATAGATACTAAATAGAACAAGACACACACCTACGTGTGAGTGTGTTTGTGTGTGTATGTGTGTGTGTTAGTTTTAGGGCAGTGCTCAGGGCTTACTCCTGGCTCTGTTCTCGGGGATCATTCCTGAGTGGTGGTGCTCAGAGGACCATGTGTAGATGCCAGAGATCAATCCCCAGTTAGCTGCCTACAAGACACGCACCCTACCCAGAACTAGGACTAGGACTAGGACTATCTTCCTAGTCCTCAGTAGCCATTTTTAAAATTAGCTATAGATCTCCAGCAAGGGTTGAAAAAAAGCTCAAGAACTTGATAGAGAATAAAATGTGTATCTTTGTTTTGATTTAATACTTGTGAGGTCACACCAGGGAGACCAGGAGCACTTCAGATAGTACTCAGTGGTCACATGACATTAGAAATTGAACCCAGGCCCAACTTGAGTCACACGTCAGCCCTGAAGTAGCTTAACCTGCTAAAGTATAGAGATATGGAGAAATACAACCAGTATACCTCACTGGACATTTGTTCATTCACTATTTGTGCCCTAAGATTGTGTAAGACTCTTAGATTATAGAGATGATTAATACAGTAATGCCCTCAAGAGGTGTGTTGTGAACTGACTTCAAAATAGAATTGTAATTATCCCTTGCAATTGAATTTTTAGTCTTTCATTTAGTCATTAAATGAGGGCAATAGAGCAACCACAGTTAACCTACAGGCTGTCAGTGGATAAAACATGTCACAATATATATGTAAATGCTTTGTTCATAATGTATAGCTTTCTTTGGTTTACAAATTGCACTTGAGTGATATGTAACAATCAGTTGAATGGGACTGGATAGATAGTACTAGAGGTCGGGTGCTTGCCTTCTCTGCAGCTGACCAAGCTTCAAATCCCCAGCAGCATAGATGATTCTCTGAGTATGGTTTAGAGTGACTCTAAACATAGAGCCAGGAGGAAGCCCTAGCACAGCCAGGTGCAGCCCCAAAACAAATAAAAAACTGTTGATTAAAATATATATTTGAAAACACTTTATAGTTAATGAAACTGAAGCTCCCCTCACAAAAAAATGGAGAAATGCTTTATCTGGAATTCCAAGATCAGTCTCACATTATAGCAGTTCACTGTTTCTTAAAAACCAGAGACCGGTCTGCTGAGCCTTTATCCTGGGATTCAAGTTCTCCTGAAGTACTGACTGAACTAATACTGAGTTACAGCTGGGGTTCTCAATGCCAGTAGCACCTCTCCTGGAAAACCCAATTTGATTAAACTTACACGGATTTTCAGTGACTTACCACTGTGATCAGTTAACCACTTTGTCACAAACTCTTTAAATGTTAAAATGTAGATAATATGAGGCTAACCCTGTCTGCTCTATTTTCACTGTGAAATTTTGAACTCGAGCATGCAGACTTCTTACTTGTCCTTCATTATGCACAGGCAGACCTCAGGGTCCTTGCAGCCCTGTGTTTGGGCTTTTCCTCTCCTGCAATCCGATGACTTGGAATCCTTTTCTGACCTCAGCACAAATGTTGGCTTTTTGAAGTTTTTCTTTATACCCCACCTTATTTTATTTGCTTTATAGAATGGAGCGATAGCACAGCGGTAGGGCGTTCGCCTTACAAGCGGTCAACATGGCCGACCCGAGTTCGATTCCTCCGCCCCTCTCGGAGAGCCCTGCAAGCTACCGAGAGTATTCAATATGCCAGACACAGTAACAACAAAGTCTCCAATGGAGACGTTACTGGGCCCGCTCGAGCAAATCGACGATCAACGGGAGGGCCTTTACCTTTACCTTTACCTATAGAATGCAGCAGTATTTGACATTCCATTCATAACTGCCATTTGTTTATAAAATTCCCAAGACCACACATGTACTTTGTTACGTTTATCACAGTATAGAAAAACTATTTTTCCCAGGACTTTTATCCCAGAATCTTAATGGTACATGTCGCATACAAGATGCAGATTACTTGTTGAATGAATGAATGAACATAATAATGAGTAAATGAAGTGTTGGTTTTGATATGTTACTTTTTATGGTATACCCCAAAACAAATGAAGTTTACGTATTGTGTATATTTATAAGCTATATTTATTAATCTCTATTTATAGATTGGGCTGGAGTGATAGCACAGCGGTAGGGCGTTCGCCTTACAAGCGGCCAACATGGCCGACCCAGGTTCGATTCCTCCGCCCCTCTCGGAGAGCCCGGCAAGCTACCGAGAGTATTCGATATGCCAGACACAGTAACAACAAAGTCTCCAATGGAGACGTTACTGGGCCCGCTCGAGCAAATCGACGATCAACGGGAGGGCCTTTACCTTTACCTTTATAGATTATATTTATATCTGGGTATGTAGCTTAGTGCAGGCACGGTAGAGCCTGGCAAGCTCCCTGTGGTGTATTCAATATGCCAAAAACAGTAACAATAACGGGTTTCATTCCCCTGACCCTTAAATAGCCTCTTATACAGTAGCTATTTAAGGGAAGGATGAGTAAGGAGAGGCTGCTAAAATCTCAGGACTGGGGTGAATAGAGACGTTACTGGTGCCCACTCGAGCAAATTGATGAACAATGGGATGACAGTGAGATAGCGATGTTGCTCTAGTGGAATGCTTTTTATATGTGAGGTTCTAGGTTTAATCCTTATCACACACACATACACACACAAACACACACACTCACACACAAAGTTTGTTTATGTCCCACCTAGAACAATTCAATTCTGTTTACCTTTATTTGGGAAATACAAGTTTGTCATTATCTTTCTTCCTGGGTAATATATATTCATAAGGATATATTCTCTTCACTTTCATATTTGTCATTTCTGTTATGGTGACAGACACCTAGTAGAGGTTCTAAGGATGGAATTCAGAATTATCATCTAATAGGTTTATGGTGCATGACTGTATGTTATATTTTCTTTTTTTAAAATTTATTTATTTATTTTGAATACCCATCCCTCCACCAGTAACCATTTCCAACCACCACAGATCCCAGTAACCCTCCCACCCCCCATTCCATCCCCATCCAACCCTGCCTCTGTGGCAGGGCATTCCCTTTGGTCTCTCTTTCATATTTGGTGTTGTGGTTTGTAAAAGAGTTAAGCCTGATTTTCAGGGAGAAACGTTGGAAAATTTACTTTCCATTAAACACTTTATATATAAGATGTTGCGCAGCCGCATAAGCGGCCGCGCGGTTTGCAGTGAGTGGTTCCTGCATAAGCAAGCTATGCTTGTAGAGGCTCATGGTCAGCGGGGTTCCCTCTGGAGGAGGCGGGATGTGGCACCTACCCCATCTGGGACTTCCCGGTGATCTCAGCTCTCTTCGGGACCGGGAGCATCCTCAGTAGCTGTGGAGGCCCCCCGCGGCCTTTCTTCTCTGTGGCTGCGTGCTGTAAAGATGGCACTGGGGGGCGGAGTGTTATATTTTCTTATGAGTACTGAAGTTTGCCTCTCCCTCAACTTCACTTGGGTACACCATAACCATTTTTTCTCTCACATTTACAGGATTATACCTTGACAATGTACTTTCAGCAAGCCTGGAGAGATAAGAGGCTGTCCTATAATGTAATACCTTTAAACTTGACTTTGGACAATAGAGTGGCAGACCAGCTCTGGGTGCCTGACACCTACTTCCTGAATGATAAGAAGTCATTTGTCCATGGAGTGACCGTCAAGAATCGCATGATCCGCCTGCATCCAGACGGGACCGTCCTTTATGGCCTCAGGTCTGTAGCATCTGTTTCAAAATGCAACTTTTCCTTAATTAAATAGCTATAGCTTTTCATTTAAGCAAAGTATCCTGTCTTCCTTATTCCTCCCTCAGTTCTGCTACTAAGCACTCAAATCTCCTGTCCAGTAGACATCTGAGAGCTTAGGATAGCTTGTTTACAAGAGAGTGACTTAGACTTAGCTAAGATGATGGTTTTCCTAAATTGTTTTCTCATATCAGCTGCTGATTCTAAAGCTGCTTTTCTTAAGACGTAGGGCTAATACCAACCAGTTGAGACATAGGTTTTTCACTGAGTGGGAAATTATACATATATATATATATATACACACACATACACACACACAACACACACACACACATATATGACTGCCGCATACTTGTTTGAATGCCATCGATGCTATGTCATCAGTTTCTCCTTACCAGGGTTGGTCCCCTGAGAACAGGAAGGCTTTATGTGGCCACCCATGCTTCAAGCACTAATCAGACTTTGAAGTATCAAGTTCTCTCATATTTGTTAGTAAAGGGTTTCTACTGTGACTTATGTACCTATGTGTTAAGCAAAAAGAAAAAAAAATGGGACACTTTGATTTTTATGTAGGAGTGAATTATAATAGAAGACACTTTGTTCTCTCAAAGTCTTTTTTCTGTATTAGAAAGTAATATGTAGTCTCCTGGGGATGGGGGGAGGTGGTGAGAGAAAAGATACCCTTCTTAGGCCAGCAACCTTCCAATATAAAGAGTTCCTCCACATTGTAGGGTAAGACACTGTTAAATTCTGTCTGCAGTTGCCTCTGACCTGTTCTGTTTTACAAAAATTTGTGATTATCCTAACAGAATAATGATGATGATAATCATAGTTGTGTTATTTCATTGAACACTTGTTAATAGACACCTAACTAAATGTTTTTCATGTTTTATTGTAGTCAGACCTTACAACAACCTCCTAAGGTAGAGGCTGTTAGGTTGGGGCTGAAGCCAAGCCTAGAAGGTGGGACATTTACCTTGTACTTAGCCAACCTGGATTTGACTCCCAGCACCCCATATGGTTGGTTCTCTGAGCCCGCCAGGACTGATCTCTGAGTGCAGAGCCAGGAGTAAGCCCTGAGCACTGCTGGTATGGCCCCCAGAAAACGAAACAAACAAACCAGAAGCTGTTAGGCTCACCGATTTTCCAATTTACCTGAGACCTCCAAAAGAACAAACTATGAAGGTGGAATCTTAGTTCTGTTCCAGGTTCTAAGTCAGAGCTCTTGATATTTCAGTTTTGTATAGGGACTGTTGGAGTGACATTGTAGCAGGGAGAGCACTTGCCTTGCATGTGACCAACTTGGATTCAGTCTCTGGCATCCCATATGGTCCTCCAAACACTTCCAGGGTTAATTTCTGAGTGCAGAGCCAGAAGTAATCCCTGAGAATTGGCGATATGACCCCCAAAGCCCCCAAAAATAAACGACAAAACTGTGTAGGAGCCACACATAGCAGTGCTCGATGGACCCCAGGGTCACTCTTAGCAGTGCTTGATCAGGTGATTCAGGTCTTGTCTGATTGTTTCGGTGGATGATGCTTTTTTCCCCCAAGCTTAAGTATGTAGTATATGACTAGAGAATAATGAAACCCTGAAAACAGAGATTCTCACTTTCACTCAGCTGGTTGATAGCTAAGTTACATAAAGTTGGTCATAAAATCAATTACCTCATGTCTTTTGCACTGAGCCAGGAGTAACCCCTGAACAACACTGGATGTGGTTCAATCTCCATAAGGTAAAGGTAAAGGTAAAGGCCCTCCCGTTGATCGTCGATTTGCTCGAGCGGGCCCAGTAACGTCTCCATAGGAGACTTTGTTGTTACTGTGTCTGGCATATCCAATACTCTCGGTAGCTTGCCGGGCTCTCCGAGAGGGGCGGAGGAATCGAACTCGGGTCGGCCATGTTGGCCGCTTGTAGGGCGAACGCCCTACCCGCTGTGCTATCGCTCCAGCTCAATCTCCATACCCTGTCCAAAAAGCAAAACAAAAGCCTGATATTAAGGCATATAGGAAAACCTGAATTATCAATTGATAACATCATTTTCTTATAATAGCAATAGATTTTATTAAAATTTAGAATCTAAATCCAAGGTAGACTGGAGATTTATTGATGTCATTAACATATTACTAAAAACTTCACTAAAAATTCCATTAAACACATTAATCAAAAATACTTTCCATTATGAAATGATACATATTTATTGTTAAAAATCTGGAAAACATAGTTGTTATCAAATGCCTCTAATCCTACTGCCCAGAGATATAGATAACTATATCTTCTTTTATGTTCTTCAGCTATTTTTCTAGTTTAAAAGCATTATTGGTGAGGATCTTGAAGGCATAGAGCATATGTCTGGCATGTGTGTGACCCTCAACTCAATTCTCAGCGGTACATACACATTGCCCCACGTCTCCTCAGCACCCCTGGTGTTGCCCTGGCAGCCCCTGAGTACCACCACAGAAAGCAGTGCCAGCTGTTCTTTCCTCTCATGATGTTTCATTTCTCAGTTTGTTTTTAGGTCACTCTCGGCTGTGCTTAGTGTTTACTCCTGGTTCTTCCTTTGCTCAGGGATCATTCCTTGGGATCATATGTGGTGCTGGGAATCAAACCAGATTGACTACATGCAAGGCAAACTCCCTACCCACTGTACTGTTGTTCTGGCCCACCTCTGGCAATTTTTAAAAGCTAGCATATTGGTAGTTTGCCATTGTTTTGTGCATACTATTTGTGATATTCTTTTGTCCTTAATGATGACTTTCATAAATGTTTTCCAAGTCAGTAAAACACTTCACACCATCATTTTTCAATAGGACATATTAGGAACATTTCTTCATCCCACAAGGGATATGATTTATGGTTTTGACATAAGGTGAAGTATGTGGTTGTGGCAATAAAATACAGCACTATCATTTAAAAGTTACTTACTATTTTAGTGATTAAACAGACAAAGATGTTTGTCACACAGCTTATGCTTTATAATTGTGCTCTCATACTAAGTAGTTTCAGAGGTAAAATAAAGATTCAGTAGATGTACTGAGGCCAGTCTATTAGGGAAGTTCTTATGAAGGGAACAGTTTTCTTAGTCTTTCAGTAGTTGGTGACCATCTAAAAATAGCTTCATGGCTCTGGTGTGAGGGATGGGAGGGCTTGACTTCCTCTGGCTATACACCTCCCATATGTAGCATTAGATCAGAAATATGTCACTTCTGATTAAAGGTTCACATTCTTAAAGAAAGATTCAGCAGGAAGCAGAAGGCAATTTAACCACCTCCTGCTATGTATGTCCTGTCATCGGGAAAATGGCAAAGGATAATGTTAGGCTGAAATGAATTTCAACAGACAGGGTTTTATTAACTTTATCTTCTGTCTTTGCTTCTAAAGTTGTATCACACAGAGTAGCCATCCAGCACTGAAATGTGCTCTATCAAACAGTCATATATCAATTTTTAACTCCGGTTTCCTAATTGCTTCTATTCACTTTCATAGCTATTGAGTGAATATATTTTGTCCGTTTGAGTAACAGAGATTTTATTCAGAGTATCAATTCTCTAGATATAATTCTCTATTTTTTGGTACAGATTATTGCAGCCATGTTATTCATAGTCTTATGAACATATCTGCATAGAACATTACTCCCTTGAGAAAGTGCCGTGTGTTCCCGGTGCATTAGGAGTCAACTTCAGGTTATAAAAATACTGTTGGCATGGGGAAAACAAAATACAGGTCTAGTTTATTTTATTCTAAATCAAGTGTTTCCTAGCTTAAATCTACACTGTTCTGTAATTATATGTTTATTAATACATATAAATATGCATATAGTCACTCCATAGGTATGTACATGCATTTTAATATTTTGTCTTACATCATGAGTGAAGAACAAAAGAAATGTTTTTCTTAAACCTTGAGACAGTATCTGTTTTCTTCAGCATTAGTTTAAAGATATTTTTACTTTTGTGTTTTGGGGCTACACATGGCTGTGCTCAGAGCTTACTCCTGGTGGTACTCAGGCAACCATATAGGATGCCTGGAATAGCCTCATGAAAGGCAAGCACTCTACCTGCTGTACTATCTCTCTGGCCCTAAAGATAAACTTTTTTCTTAATCAGATTTTCAGTAATTTGTATCACTCTGATTTTATAAAACCAGTTAATTTTGTTAGCAGCTTTTTCTTGGTAAATAGGAAAAATGATGGTATGCTGGAAGTCTTTATACTGATTCCACTCATGATTGGTTTCTAATCAGACGAAGATCTGCTGAAAATAAATACAAACGAATACTGTTTAAGCCATAGTGCTGCAGGCGTGGGAGTAACTGCTTATGAGTATTTCCTATATGTAAAGCTGTGAATTACCTATATTTGCCAATCTGTGAAACTGCTCAGAACTAAACCCAGAGCCCCAACTGTAGTCAGTCGCCTGGGAGGCTGAGAGAACAGTTTCTACCCAGGGAGGTAGATTTAAAAGACTCTTAGAGAGAGCAGATATCAGAAACACCAATGGAAGGGGGGAAAAGGGAAACCCTTTATTTATGTGGTCCTTGATAATCTCTTGTATTTGCTTCCTTATTGCTGTAGAGCCACACCAAAAGATGTGTGGGGGTAGGGGTGCCAGTGGTACATGTGGTGCCATGGTGCCGACGAGGGCCTGGCAAAAACGGACAAAGCCTTGGCCCAGAAAATCGCTCTTCATAGTCACACTTCTCCCTTGTAGACATGTAGTAGGTTGTGTGATTATGTGTATAGATGTAATTACTACGTGTAATAGGTTGTTATTAATAACAAACGTCATTATTCATGTGGCTTTCAGTCTTACGCAGTGTACCCAAGAAGCACTTCAGCATTGATTGTGGCCAACCCCTTGTATCCTGTGCAAATCTAGAATACCTAAAATACTCTTTCTCAGATGTAACAGTATCATCATTCACTTTAGTTTTTCTTATGTAACTAGATAGACACAGGAATGACATTTTTG